AGTATTCTTAAAAGCCTTTTTGTGCATGTTAAAATTTTGTTATAACATTACCCTTGAAATTCTTTATTGTTAGTGTTCTAATCAATTCATTTTTGTATTGAATTTTGTAATCATCAGGTATTTTAAATAGTTTCCAAATTATCTACAAATACCTGATTTTAACATTACACTCTGTATCTTTTATTAATGCCAACCTTTGGAGTGCACCAGCTAAATATAACGCAAAAAAAACGCTCTTAATGTACGGCGCTTTACAAAACCAGACATAAAAAATAATAAACAAAAATCGAAAAATAAGAAGCGTTTGTTTCAGATGAATCGCCTGAGTGACACCGCAGATATACAAGATGGCGAATCGGACACGGAAGATCCCGAACAGCTGCTAAACGAGTGGCTCGGGGAACTCGACAATTTGACGGGGGTGAGCTTAGAATTAAATAGTTTATTGATTTTATAATTTATTTATTCAGACTTCCAATAATTGTAACTGCTCATTATATGAATGAATAAAATTTAATAAATTAAAATAAATTAAAAATAAATTCAAAAATTTCATCTACACTTTTGGTGTTCATTGCTATAATTTTTATAAATTCTGTTTGTTTTATTGAATTTGTTATTTTATATTATATTTAATTATTGAAAATACATTGTAGGGGATTTAAAATCGAGCACTGTTTAAGCAATGTCAATGCGATTAGTTTACAACTTTATGCGTCGACATGTTAATTACATGGGCAATAAAGGTGACACGCGTTATGATATCCACATATCAAGGATTTCTTGTTAATTAACTATTATTATTACACTATTCTGTAATACTAATGTTATAACGAATATTATTAAGACAACAATAATGCACTTTGCTGCTGCGCTCGTTTTTGTGTGTGTCCTTTTCAAAAGTTAGTTATTTTTTCAACACATTATAATAAAAAATTACTTTTCATTTTCTTAGAAATTGCATAGTTTCTGTTCTCGATCAATATTTAAAAAAGTTTTAATGTATTTGTATTTTATTCGATATATGTATGATCGTTAGCGTGGTTTGTAAAGCCGTGAAAGTAAGCTTAGCACAAAGTTCACCAAAACGAATGAGTTAGTCATGGCCTCTTTCATTTTGCACCATTACTAATTTGCGTATATCGATGGTATCCCTTTAATTTCTCCGTAAACAATGCGTCCACATTCTAGGTCATCGACGAGGATTTTTTCTTGAATTAGAATATTTTATATATGCAGCTACTGCTAATTTTTCCTTTTGAATGGTAAAAGCTCTGATTTTTCTAATATGTGTGCAGAGTTCGTTATGTACTGTGTGTGTGTGTGTTTGTCAAAAAGTAAGCAACAAGTTTTTAATCAGAATTTCAATGTTTTCTATGACAGAGTTCGAATCGTAAAAATGCTAAAAAAAAATTTGAAGTTCAAGCAAATAACCCAGCTCTAGTTGACTGCAATGTAGTCTTTCTCGGGTTAACAAGTAATCAATTTATGATGGGTTTTACAAAGTAGCAACAAAAACTTAAGTTTTAGAAAGTCGGTGTAGTAGAAACGAGTTTCAATAATGAATGTATACACAACAACAATGTTGGAGACAAAAACCATACAGAAATATCAATTTCAACATATTTCGATATATATCTGGATCTACTTAAAGATTTATTTCATAGATAGTTAGCAATTAAGTGTATTAACGGAGTATTTTCTTGAGCAAAAAACAATGTCATCTACAATTGTAAGTACAATCTTCCAAGTTCCTTTCAAGTTTTATTTGTTGTTGCATTTGTGATAACATTATGTTCATTAATCAGACCTACGCAGAATTCAGCATTTAAAAATACCCAAAACATAGCGTCCAACAAAGCGGAATCAGCCATTAAATATTTATGTTCAGTAAGGTATTCTTTATTGCGAATTTAATTATTTAAAAACCGGAAGCTAAAGTGTCGCCAACCATTTACCACGCCACTAGAATATTAATGTATATAGGCACGATGGTTGTTTTTTTTTGGGATCTGCATTGCTAAATATTCGGCGTAATTTTTGCCACTAATATTGAAAGAGTGAAGTAACCAAATCCCTCATTAATAATCCCGAATTTGTGGGTTGCTTTTGTGCCAAAAACAATGAGTCGGCATCTGAGGGGTTTGTCGGACACCGCAACCCCAATAGCGAATTTGACGGAGCCGAATGCGATTAGCCGTGGACGTGTACAAATGAAGGCACAACTTTCGCTGTAGAAATCGCTTATTCGATTTGACATATCGTGCCTATACATTGTTCATATTGATTACCGGAGATATAAACCAATCCATTTTAGTTTTGCTGCGCGATGTCAAGTTTGTCAAGAGAAAATAAAGTATGGATGGTATACTTCTTGAGTAAATCGAATTATTCATTGTCGGTAAAATGGGACAATGAAAACAATATGAAAATGTCACTTGCTCTATGTTTTGAATTTAGATGTTCAACGTCATTCACGACGTAAAAACAATTTTAGTGAAAAAGTAAAATTTGGAATTATTTTTCATTTAATTAAACTCATACCAATATGTAATAAATATAAAAATTTTAAAATGCAACAAACAAAAATGCCCTAGATTTCAGAAAATTGTGCAATCATACATACAGTCATCAGAATGGTGAGGGCGAAACAAAATATAAATCGACGAACTTAAAGCTAAAAAAAGTATAATTTTGAGAGGCATATCCACTTTACGGGTTGTTATTAGTGTCTAATTTTTTATTTAGAATGCCAAATGATATTTAAAATACAAATAAAATTTCGTTAGTAGCTAAATGAGTTTGTGATATCCTGGAAAACCATTTTTATATGCTATAAACCCATAAAAGAGCAAATTTTTGCAAATATTATTTATATTATTATGTCCTATTACTACTATTTAAAAACTTCTGGATTGCGTCGGCTGTCGTTGAGTTGAATTTGCTAACGTTTCGCCAATCATCCCGTTGACTTAGCAAGTTCGACTCAACAACAGTCGCAGGAGGAATTCAGAAGTTTTGTAAATAATATTACAGTAAGTAGCCTGCGGAAGTTTCTTTGAAAAATTATGTCCAATTACTATTTGAAATACCGTTTGTATAAGGATCATAAAATTTAAGAAAAGCGTTAACGCTTGCTTATTCATATCTACTTTTTTATATCATTATAATGACCTTTATTATTATCTCATTGTGTCAGTATTTAATTTTTTTTTTCTCTAAAACATTTGTGATACCTAAGCATTGGCGAAGAGTCTGTTGCAATGGATTAATCAAGTTAAGGTATAAAAATCGTGGTAGCTTAAATTCTCTCTTTTGACACCATCGACCCGAATTTATCTTCTGGACTAAACCTAAATGGTCGTGAACATTCACTTTGACACCCTATTATATCTTTATGATGAAGGAATTTACGACACACTTTTATATGAGCTTTTGGTCGTAAACGAAACATCATATTTAGGGATAGCTCGTATACTTGTATTTAACCGGTTAATGCGATATGGCAATAAAGGCCTCGAGTTTAGATATCATCCAGACCACACGAGCGGATTCTGCCGAGTTGTCAGGTCCTCATTACAATATGTATACACACAAAAGCGCTTTAATTGCAAAATGCACTTACAATTATTGTTTATGCCAAGGACTGAAGCGTCATTACATGGGGACCTTTTATACCTAACATTTGCGATTAACATACACATTGTTGCGAATAAATAGAATTACCTTAGCAATTTATAAATATTATCCCAAAGTTGGTGGTTACAATAGATACTGTTCTCGGACAATTTCTAAAAAGTGCATCGAACGTTTGATAACGGGTAATTCCAAGTTTTACAATCATATCGGTCGATTAATCGAAACACGTTACGTTTTATGCAATTCGATAGCGTTATGCGGATTACTTGGAAACTAAATTAACGATTACCGTGTTCCCCTAAAGTGTTTAAAAATCTTTGCTTACAATCATTGCCTTTTGTTGTAGCATTTCGTATTTCAAACCTTGCTTGATTGATTGCCTGCCCGAAGTTGTAGCGGGTTTCGTTGTTATTATGTTTAAGAATTTGCTTAGAGCTTTTCAGTTTTATTGCCTTTGGCGTATTGAAAACAGCTTCCTATCGGGTACCCTCAATTAAGTGAATTTGAACGAGATGACCGCTGAAATTGAAAAACAGAACCGTAGCGATGTTGTAGAGTGAAACTTTAAGAGCGACCAGTGATAGCCAAAAAGAGACATAGTGCTCTCACAGACCGGTTGCAACACAACCAGCACAATCAGACATGGAAGATAAACCAAGGACCGACAAAGATCGATTTATTTTATACCGTCGTCGCTTGGTATTGTCATTAGTGCGTGAGACACGCATGTACTAGGCGTGTTACGGTTTGGGGTGTCATGACAGTTGGAAATAAGTCTCGTCTAATTTTTTTTTGGAAAAAAACATAAACACTGTAAGACAATGTCATGCAAGGTCACCAGACTTATCACTGACTGTGGGATATGATAGATATAATGTTGAATCGGTTGTTATATCTTATACTGGATGTACAAGGTTTACGTCATAAGGTAAGATGCCACGAAGAGTTACATTAGAGAACTATTTCATTTTTAAGAATTCCTGTGAAATCAATAAATTTGTTTCCAAAAAATAATAAAATATAAGTATTGACATTCACTGGAATTGCAATGCCACCCAGTATTTTTTAAAAAGTATCTGTCGAAAATGATAAATAAAAAACACTCAATTAAGTTCTATATGAAACGCCCAAAGTCTTTCACCTCTTCCTCTATGCATGTAAATGTTGGGCCTTTTCAATTCTCTCTTTTGTTTTTTATTTTTGGGATTGGCCAACGTAGGAGTACCGTCAAGCACACATTAAGCCCTTGCCATTTAATACGAGTACCTGATAAGTATATTTGAGTCAATATTTGTTTGATAATTTTCATTATAATTATAATGCACTACATTACCAACCAAAAATGAAAAATGTTGCGGTTGTATATTTTTATTTACTATTCCAAATAAATCGGATCGCTTCCACAAAATGAGACAAATAGCATATTTCATTTTTCTAAAAGCAGTTTCGATTCGCTGTCGTCTCATTCTCCTGCTGACACTACGCTGCGTAAAATTTATTCTGGAAGGAGATTTTAAAAATGGAATCTGCCAGACCCATTATTCTTCGTCGCAGGACTTTATGTAATAACTGTTTTTACATGAACACGTACCCCTCAGTTGAATTTATATTATCACTTAGGCCGGGTAGAGCAATATGGGATTCACTATATAACGCGTGACATCGAACGGGTATAAGAATAAGTAGCTGTAATTTTATGGGATTCAAACTTTATTTTTACTCTACAAAAAAAACAGAACCCTCCCACATAAAATAAATAAAAAATTTAGGTTGTTTGAAAAATTGACTCGCAAGTTGCGACGAGTCTACACTAAACATTCTGTCTTATTTTATTTTTTTTACGACCCTAGCAAAATCAAACTCTTCACTTTTAACCAAAAACGACAACTTTCTGCTTTGACGATTGAACAGTACTTCAATGTCTAGAACGTGCAACGAACCTTCATTCTTGCCGTATTTCGTCACTTTATACCCGACCAATTCGTAAGTGGTTGTACCCAATTCATCCTCCAAAATCCGATAACAGTCTTCCCTAAATACCGCAGGAAATTGTGAAGTTTCGATAAGCTCTTCCACGGCTTCTGTCAGAAGCGCTCTGAAGTTCGAATCACTGTCGAACAATTCCAGAGCGAACGGCGTTTTATCCACAAACACGAATTTTATAAACTCTTCTTTGTCGTTTAACAATTTAATAAAAAACTCTTTGCTTCCGCATTGCTGTAGTCTTTGAAGCGCACCTTGTAACTTAATCTCGGGCATTATGTAGCTCACCGATTTCAAATAATCGTCAAAAGACATTTGAATGTCGTCCGCCGCTATTTGGAGTTTTTCCAATTCTTCCTTGAGATGATTGTGGTAATATTTCATGAAGAACGAAAATTTACGTTGCCTGAATGCACTGTCAGTGGTCAAGGAAAGAAATAGTAGCACATCGTGCGCAGGTACGTGATATCTTATCAGTTGAAAGTCTACTAATAGAGCTTCTATCGGTTGAGTGGAATCACCTATGTATTTATACATCACGTTTTTGGCCCACATGTCTCCTTTGCACACCACGTTACGAAACTTCGTTTGGTGTTTCATCAAATTTAGAGCTTTGTCTACTAGAATCCGAAATTTTTGTCTAAGCGCGTCCACCGAAAGCCCCGACGGTGCTACTTTCGCCAGTAATGCATCTAAAGCTTTTACTCCACCTTTGACCCAGGCGTAACCCAAAAATCCATCCTCACGTCTTACTAACGGTTCTTGTATTAACTTCTCGTCGCCAGAAAATAGTCTGTACTCGTAGCCTAACTCTGCAGACTTGTATTCCTCGAAAGCTAGGCATCCGGCATGGTATTTCGCTAGAGTTTTCAATATCAAGCAGATGTGATCTTCGTCTAATAGATTCAAACTTGGTTTTCTTGGCATATGGTAGTTTTTCAATGAGAGGTCTTCAAAAACCATTATATCGTCCAGCTTACCCAAGAGATATTGAGGCACGAAATCTATAGTATATCCAGGTAGGGTTCCTTTGAGATTTGGCAAAAGCGTCTCGTAGAAATATATTTCCCTAGCCCAACCGTCCATGGATTTTAAATATTCTCCTTGTTGTTGGTGTCCGTAAGGAAAGCGCTTCAAGAAGAATCGATGATTGATTTTCTCGCCGTCGATATCCACTTCCGTTTCTAGTAACACATGTTCACCCAAGAAGCCGTTTACTTCGTCAAAATAATTCGACGTTTTGAAACTTATCACTCGAAAATTTTCACTATTTATGTAATTTTTAACGATAGTGTAACAATCTTCTAGCGCTAGTACGTCCGACGTCATGATCGCGCGTTCAATAACGGTATAATGGCTGTAATAAATATTTTATTTAAATAGCGTTTATCTCCAGTCGTACGATAAGAGAGTAATTTCGGGTGCTCAACGTTATTTTTATCTATTCAAGCAGCACAATCAATTTTTCGGGTAATGCTAGACCTGTTTTGCAAATGAGATTAAGTCTTCCTGTGATTAAAGTCTTTCATCGTAATACTCCACTATTGTGTTGTTTCTACCAAGTTATCTAATGACTGAACTGATTACCAACACGAACTGCATAATTTTGTTTTTGAGGAATTTTGATTTGATATAAGACCAACTTCATAAATTGCGTATTGTGTTATTTGAAAAGTGAAACTTTGCATAATGTAGATGTTGATATACGTCCAAAATAATCTTGGACATTATCCAGTGAAAAGTTCGCATCGATGTACCAAACGCCTTGCATATTAAACGAACCATCGCAACTATTTATCTAGTCTTCTCCACTCTTCTGTGTCCGTTGTCCTGTTCATTCATATGAATCCATGCTTCCTCAAATCATCCTCTCATGTCATTTGAGGTTTTGCTCTAGTTTTCTTATTTCCCCAAGCAAGTTTTTAATAGTTGTGTTCCATCTATCGTCTTTTTTATATCTTCATTGACATTTCCATTGATCTCTATGCTTTTGCTTACTTTAGCCATTTTTGACTTTGTGATTGTCCATGTTTGCGATCCATAGATGAACACAAGGAATACGTACTTCGGTTTATAGCTATTGTGAAGCTCAAATTGCTGAATGCCTTATGTTATGTCGTTCTATTTTTTCTTGTGCAATTTTGACTGTGATGTTTTCACCTGTGTTAATTGGTGTAGTTCATATTGAGACCTACATTTGTAACCGCTGTCAACCGTTCAGGCAGCTCTTCTTTTTTATCAGTTATCTAGGTGATATCATCCGCGTATCTTAGGCTGTTCAAGTGTTGTCCACCTATTTTTATACCTTTTTCTTTCCAGTCTATTTTTTAAAAAACATCCTCTAGCGTCTGGTTAAAAACTTGTTAAAATTGTGTCGGTGAGTGACACCTCTTCCTATGCTTTTGGGTTTTGTTCCATCATGAATTTTGAAATACGTTTGCTAAAAGGTCCGTGTATTCTGCTATTAACTAAAGAGTTTTTCATAGCCCAGTGTTCAGCATTTTCTAAATCAATAAACACAATATATAATGGATGTCATATTCGTTCGCTCGTTCGTTTTGTAAGGAGTTTATAATTTACATTCAAGAGTGGAACGTGTTGATAGTTTTGGAAGAGATTCTTTGAGTTGTCTAGGATTTGTTGTAGGTGATGTTTGACGTCTTCACATTTGTAAAAACGGAATAAATGTTGTTCTAGTACATTCCAAATTAACTTAATTTTTTGTAAGTCAAATTAATAGAATAGTGAGCATATTAAAAAATAAATGAGTTAAAATGAGATTCCGATTTATTTAAATTAGTTATTGTACTGCAGTTAGACGTTAATATTTTAACCACGTATTCTTTGACCCAAAATAAGGATTAAAGTTCATATAAACTAGGGTCCAAAAGGTCTTAGTTTTTAACATACAGGGTATAAATTTTGAAGGGGTGATGGCGATTTTTGTAAATATTTTCGAAACACGTAAATATCTTTAAATAAAATTTGGTACAGTTTTGGAAATTTATTTACAAATTATTTTTTTTATTTTAATGTTTACAATCGAGGTGCAGCTAATCATTAGTAAGCCTTGGAAGTTAATGACACGTTCCATTTGTTTGTGTTGCTGGGTAAATAAAAATTAATTGTCAATTATTCGACGGCTTTCAATTTTATTCATTGTTGGTAAAAATAGTTTTTACTTGGATTGTTGTTATAAATCTTTTTATTAACGAAAGACAAATCAAACTATCAACTGGAAACCTCACTATTCTAATAAAAATTATAAACTTTAAATATTAAAAAAGGTTGATTGTTGATGAAAAATAAGCTATTTAAATCTGATGGAGTTTTTTTCAAATAGAAAATTAGCACATGTATTGTTTGTAATTATTTTGCCCGCAAATTTATCTTAGACTGAAAGTTAGTTTTTTAAAAGTTGCTATTTTATCCAAAAGCTGTTTTTTTACCAAAATAAAGAGTGTTGAATAATTTCAGATTATATCCCCAATATTCGCGCAGTTACTTGAAAAATTTTCCCCCTACACGCATAATCGCCACTCCATTGCAATTGTGTAGTGCCCTCATAAAAGGCATTGATCTTCTCCGGAACTCGAAGAGCTTAAAACGAGTTGTATTTCTTTGCGGACATCTTTTTGGGGGAGACGATTTCAATAGGTTTCAATTAAAAAAGGGGGATTATATGCTTGTTTGTATTCAGCTTTTCAAGTCGGGATTGCACTTTTATTTCCTTAAAGTGGTGTGTCTGAGTATTTCCATAGACGCACAAAAACCGCTTGTCTGAATTTATTGAAAAAACACAAGGAATTTTTTATTGGAAGAAAAAACGGCAACCGTGCATTAAACGGTATCTGGAAAAAGTGCATTATCTATTTGTGCGGCAGCTAAAAGAACAATGGTCCTTTGAGGGTCTAGAGGCGAATATTACTTCGGTCAGTGCAGCGAAACATCTTGAACCGTCTGACCCTTTGGCCTCGAGGAGAATCGATCGAGTCCCCTGCACTCGGCTGGATTTTGTTTTAGTTATTGGTGTTGTTTTGGAGGGCATAGATTTTTTGTAAAAAATATTTCAACGATCAAGTGGAAAAACGATGAGGTTCCTTCTGTCTCGTCAAATGTTGGAAAATATATAATATCATTTTCATACTAATGTCTCAATATTTATCCAGTTATTGCAATAACATTTATTCAATCGTGTTTCGGGATCATTTTTCTGTATATTTTCAAGCTTGAAAAAAATTTATATAAAATTATTCCGGAATATCGCCTGTTTAAAGTTAGCAAGTTAAATAATCAAGAACAAATTTTTATTGTTCTTGGCACTTCATAAATATATTTTTTTTAATCATTTTTTATCAATTTTATTACCTAGACCCCTGACTTTTAATTCCCTTAGTTTCAATATCACTTTTAATAAATATTAATTAAATTTTTCATTTTGTATTTGCTGCTGAAGTCAAAATGACTTGCGAAAAGTACTTATAAATATGCACTAAATGTTCTAAAAGTTATTGATTGGACGAAAACTGTTGCACCGTTAGTTAAGAAAGTTTTTTCGACGTCTTAGCAAAAGGTTTCATTATTTCATATAATAAAATTTAAAGATAATATGGATCGTCATCTACACTGGACCCTTGATTTGCTTGATATTTAAATCCACATATTTGATTTCCACGATATTTTGATCTATCGACAGCTCCTGTTGAAGATTTCCTAGTCCTATTAGGCTCCAAAACATTTTTTCAGGTTTTTAAAAGGCGTTTTAAAGACAAATAACCTAAGCTCGTAACAAAACACGTTGCACCAAGGCAATAAGGAATTGCTGTCGTCTTCGCAACAACCTTTTTCAGCCAACATTGTAAACTAAATTTCAGCAGGCTGCAGTAAACCGAAGATCGTAAACACTTTAGAAACGTGAGGTTCCCATATGTGCGACGCCAATGTACCGGAAAGCCGCTTAAACAGCTTTAAAGTTCCACTTTGTAACTTATTTTAATTTTAGTTACAATTGACATGCCATTGTATAGTTAAGTAGAGCAAACCCTTCTGGCATTTTGCTTCAGATTGCAGACATTCACCCGACTACACAAGAAAAATATAACTCAATATCAGCTGTTAGAAAAACTTCTCCTGAAAAGTTTTGCTCTTTCATAATTTTAAGTTAACTCGGTTAATTCGCCACAAAATGTCAGCAAACTTGCTTAAATTTATACCTGAGCTTACCGAACCGAATCATCGTCTTTAGTTCGCAAGCGAAAGCTCAGCCAAAGCAGTAAGAAACGAAAATTTATGATAACTGAGGAATTCCGATCGTCGGAATTGTCGGATGTTCAAGAAAAGTGACAGATTAACGCGATTTATTAGCGATCGGTTCATTAAGTTTCGCCGGATTGAACTACTCGATGTAGTTCCAAACTTTTCCAACTTCCTCAATAATGCGCTTCCGGTTTTGGCATTCACGGTTTTTCCCTAAAGGTCTGTTTTCGCCATACAAATGGAAATCGACGAATGGGGACCATAAAGAGTGGATGTCGTTGGGCGATTAGGGAGTTTTGGCTTGCTGCGGCTGCGAAAAAGTTTTGATGAAATGTTAAAGGTAAATATAAATGTGGGTATAGATATTGAGATAGGTATTTGTAAAACTTGTATTGTCAATATTTGGTTTGAAAAATGATGTCGCAGAAGATTTCAGAAGAACAAAAGGACAAGTTTTAAGTACGTATTAGATGCCATGGTAACACCGGAACTTTTTTTACTAAAGTGAAAAACCTTCTAACAATTGTAAGGCTATTCCACTCACTAGACATCACAAAACTATTTTAAACGCTTCCCAAATCGCAAAATTAGCAACAGCAAACAACCAACGAACAAACAATGATGAATGGAACCAGATAAACGCTATAGAAAAAAACGGGATAGACCTCCTGGTAGATTGTTGATTTTCCGTGTCTGAATTTTGCCATGATTTTGCCAAAGTTTAACTTTCGACCGAAAAAGGAAATTTGTGAAAACTGGTCGCGAGGTTCCGATTTTCCCACAACAATGCCGAGTATACAAGCGCACTCGTACGTATACATGCCTACCATTATTATACAGCGCCGTTATCGTGTATCAGCGCTTGGCTATCTTGTCGAATAAATCGGCGTGCAGCGGCAACAATAGCTATAGTAGCGATAAGCATCCAAAGTGGTCGAGCCAATTAAAAATGGCGAGTGGCGCCAACCGAACTGGCATTTCAATTTGTTACTACTTTAGGGTTGAAATTATTATTTAATATGCGATTTAGGAGCGATATAGTTTTCATTATCGTTTTTATTACGTTGAAAGGA